GAACTATCATTAGATATTTACGAAAATTAAGCTACATGTTTCTTAATAGTAACGGGAAGAAAACTATATTCGATAGTATTTACTTTGGACAAATATGAGTAATTTTAAATTAATTTTCAATTGTTAATGTATTTCTTCAATTACTCGATGGATATCAATATTGCTTAGGATTTTCTATCGTATTATTTTCAAGAATGCCTTTAGGCTTTTGTTAATATTATATTGTGATACCTTTTCTTCAGCAATCTTTATAAACTGAAAGTACGAATCTTACCAATTTATTTTTTCTGTAAATAGTCACTTTTTCTTCCCAAAAAGCTTCAATTTTAAACTAAATTTTCCATGACTGTTAATAAATTGACTTAATATTTCTTACCTCACGGAGATATCCCGGCTATTTACATTTTCAATTAAATTACTTTGTATCAAATGTACTTGATTTTCTCCCCCATTTGTTAGTCACGAGAGCATTTATCTCAGTTCGAATAGGTACTAACTTTCTACATCAAGACCAGCAGAAGTTCCGAAGTTCCCATTCATATACTGATAAATTTTTCAACATAAAATAAAAACTTTTGAAAATGTAAATGCTTTAAACATTTTTGCAACACACACATTTCATCTTTGTACTCACATTTCATATTCATTTCCAATGCGACTAAACATCATTACGAAACATGTAAGTTAGAGTGCGAAAAAATTCTTCAGAATCGATAGCTTCCGGTAAAACTTTCAATTCACCCAAATGACGTGAGAAATGTAATATTTAACTCGCGAAATCATTTTCTTGGAAATCTATCAGTCTGATTTGGCACGATCTATATATACAATATAACATCGGAGAAGTATCACATACTTTTTCATTCCCTCTTGTAAGTATCCTCCGGGTCATTCATAAGCATGGTTGTATTTTTGAAACGCGAGATATTGTACTATTGATGATGAAAAATAGTTATAATTATTTAGGGGATCATAACTGCATTAAATAATTTTTAAACGCACATACGTTAACCTAATATATGCTGTGGCAAGTAAATAACCCGAAGAACACATTTTTTCTTTAATTTTCCTCAGATTCAGGACAATATGTTATTACATTGACACTTCACTTGCATTGACAATTACTCATAGATGCAATGAGTAAACCAATCTATTGAGGTAATATTGTGTAAAATACATCATTAGTCACAGCAAAATATATTGAGCGTCATAACAACTTTCAGATATGGTTTTGTAAAGCTCCATTCTTGTAACTCCCATCACAGTGTAACTTTAGGCTCTTTCATAGACATAAAAGTTTCCATTTAAATACATTAATTAGTGGGTTCGATTTGTAAGACAACGCTGATGACACGAAACAAAATTATTAGGCGAAGTGACAGGCCTATAAAAATACTAACATTTTTCAAGAGGCGAGAAACAATAGGTACTGCAAAAGTAGACCATACATCTTGCACCTTCTTACAAATGTACGACACTATGCTACCGCAATAAAATTTTTTTGCATAGTACATTGCATTGGTTAAATTCATTGTTGAAAATGGCCATTCTATTTCAAAAACATCTGTATTTAACAAATGTGTCTCTTGAATTTTAGTTGTTTTTTTTTTATAATTTTTGTAGGATACATTACACAAATACATTGGAAAATCTACATCTAGACTAGCAGTGAGTCACTGCAAAATAATTACACCGTAGTATAAATATTTAGTACACATTATTACGTTTTATATAAAATGTCCTTTTGAAAATAGGCGAATTACATTCAAAACAAATAGTATATTTACAGTTATATTCAGTTTTAACCATCGTACGCTACTGGATTTCAAAAATAGTCAAGTATTGGTTGACTCGGTTGGTCAAGTCATTTTATTTATTATTGTTAATTTTAGAAAACACCCAAAGACGTACACTTCTCCGCATTTCTTGAAAGCATGGTGCAACTGTGCTTTTAAAGTGGAATAACCGTAGGTTCACAAACATCTCTTAACTCGAAGCAGAGATTACCTGTACTCTTCAAGCTATTTGGACCTTTAGAACAAAAGAATTTGTGAGAACTATTTACTTCAAATGTTTTAACGTCTGTATTTCAATTTTTAATATTTTTCTATCGTTGAAATATCATTAATAAAAAACCTGTTTTATTTATAGTTCATGAGAAGTCCTTGTTCGGCATAATATCAGAAGACTGACTTGCAATTTCACATATCACATTTTCTTATTATTATTCTTTCCTTTACGAGATCATATTGAGCCATCGATCATAACAAAAATCTTAGTTAATCTTAGTAGTAGTTTATATGTCGTTCGGTCGTTCAGGAAGAAATGAATATTTAAATACACCATTAGGGCAATAGCACCAGTTGAATGTTCATTTTTTAGTTAACATCATCCACACTGGTTTATTATTTTCTTAGGCCTGAGACACACGAGCTTTGCGTTACCTGGTGACGTCAGCTACATCGATGCACGTCGATTGTTTGTGCACACGAGCGTTGTTTAACGCGCGTCTCGGGCGCTAGTCGGTTCTCAACATGGATGCCGTCGAAGGAGCAGTTACAGGCTCCGTGGCTCTGATAATTATAAGGAAAAGCCCAGGAGACGTTGGGTGCATCCTATTAGCCTGCTAATTCCCTCTCTTTTTTATAAGCTGCGAGAAGACAGATGTTTTGAAAATTATTTTCTAATATCTGAAGAGTAAAGAATATGTCTCCTCTCCCCTTCTATGTGAATTTCTGCATCAATTACTAATTAACCCAAGAGGTAATTAAGTACATCAATATTAAAATATAAATTTAATAATAAAAAATAATAGGATATATTATTATTGCGTATAGGTATTGTGTTGCAACCTTCCATTTTAGAAGTTCAATTTCCAAAGATCACGCTGAAACAACTACGATGCTATGGCTGAGCACAAACTGCAACGTACGTCAAAAGACACGTGCGATTTGTTGAGCTTTCAACGCGCGACGACCGTTATGCTACATATGCATTGAGATCGAGTACCGTTCCACGTAAGGTACATGGTTGATAATGAAGCACGTTACTTGACGTGCTTTAACGTAACGCTCCTGTGTCACAAGCCGTAAAGTTAATCGTAACTGAGCAATTTATAATTAAGAGGAACTGAGAGTTATACTTTTTTCAAAAAATATTCAAACAATTTATTTACAAAAAGATCAATCGTGCATGATTATTTACGCATACATAATGAGCATAATGCCATTGGCTATTTAATGAGAGAAGATTTAATTATGGCGTTTATATTTTTACTTTTTTGTCAACTGGTTCTGCATGTATCTAGTTCTTCGAAAATACCATTTCAAAATATTACAAGTAGCTAAAATGGGCCATTCTTGCAAGTGCCATAATTTCTCACAAGCAAATAATCTTATTTAGGCACGTGTGATAAAAAGTATTTTATCTTATACCATTGCTTTTGTGAATATTGTCATTTCAAATATTCATTTTGAATATCCTCAACCAGACCGAGCACTGACTTCCTTGTTGGTTGCTATGTTACCAGCAGTAAACAAGAGTAGAAAATTATCCATTTTATGTTAATTAGAAAAGGGGAAGAAATTATTGTGGAAGAAAAGATGAGTAATAGAAGTGATGAATCTGCTTCAAAAGAGGTTCAAAAAGACATTTGTTAAAAAAAACAAATAGTGATAATAATAATGTTTTAAAAAAATATTTGAGAAAATCATTTGCTGGTTTGTTTTGCGAAAACGCGTTCCTTTTATGACCGTTTTCATTATAGTAGGTCATATGCATTTGTTTATTTTTTGCAAACAGCAAGTCAATCAAAATATTTAAAATCATATTTATGATATCAGAATTGAGGAGTAGAATTCTCAAATTGGTTGGAGTATATTTATTTTAGCAAACCAATTTTACCAAACTTAAATAAAAATTAGAATAATGTTTCAAAACAAGTAAATGTAATATGGAACTGTAAAAGTAGTATTTTCACTACAAATGTACAAAATTTAAAAAGTGCAATACATTATTTCTGCTTGTTTTACGGAAATGCAATTGATTTTGAAGACAACTACTCTTTATATATTAGAATCAAATAATGATAGAGTCGGTTTTTTTAACCTCATCCATATTAAGATGTAAGGAAGTATAATTAAATCAAAAGCTTAAAAACAAAAAAACTGCTTTACTCTGGTTAACCTACTCTTCCAATCAATTCCTCAGTGGTTTTAAAGCAAAACGTCCTGACATTGTCGCTTGCTCCCTCATTACTTAATCTGTCCTAATATTTAGTTTTAGGCTTCATTGCATTGAATTCCTATTACAAGATAACAAGGATATTTTCAGTATCCAAGCTACCTTAACCCACAACCGTATGCCTCCATTATGAGCAGATTTAACTTCAATTTATCTAAAATGAATTCCCTTTGAAAATGAAGTAAACAAAAATTCACTCAGAAACGGTTCTCCGAAGAACATAGCAAACCTCTCGTGGCCAACTCAGGCTGAGAACGTTGAGGAATGTGATTAAGTGTTTTCGACAAACTCAATGCTGCACAATAACTCCTGTTGCTAGGACATAACATTAATTCTTCTCTCAGAGTTGACAAGAATATGTTCCGGGTCGACACCTATTTGAATAAGAATAAAAGCGCCCTTTGTATCTTGCATCTTCGTTCTTTGCGAAAATACTGAACTATGTATGCAAATTTATTTTTCATTCATTAATCTCTCGAATCGTCAGCGTTGCGAACTGACTACTATCAATATACCAGAGGATTTTCTCGCCGATATTGCCTGAATCCAGACGACAGCACAGGCAAGGGGTATTTCGGGAGCGCCGACCGTTACTCGACGCAGACAAATCACCGTGTACGACGTACGTCGTCCCGGAAGGCAGCCCCTCCGCCGCCCGGCCGGGGTGGGGGTGGGGTAGGGGAGAGATCAGAGCAGCCAGCGCCCGCGCGCGCCGGGGGCGGGCCGCGCGCGGCGGTGCAGGCGGCTACCCCTAGGCGCTAGCCCTGGGCGCGCGGGGCAGGGGCGGGGTCCCCCGGCGCCCCCGCGCCCCGCCCCCAGGCCCCCCGCCGGCCCCACCGCCGCCGCCGCCCCCGCCGCCCCCGCACGCGGCGCCCCCTGGTGCGCCTGGGGTGACTCGTCCGCTGCCGCGCTGGCAGCTCCTTGCGGTTGCGCGCGAAGATCTCGTGCTTGAACACCTCGAACTGGCGGAAGTTGAAGCTGTTCTGGCGCTCGCGCCACGACGGCCGCTGCTTCTTCGTCTGCAGCCCCCAGTGGCACGTGAAGACCGGCGACAGCACGTAGAACTGGTAGCCCGTCACGTACATCTCGTACACCTGCAGAGAGGACAGGATTGTTAATTTGGCTATTTTAAACCAACATGCATCCCAACAAAGTCTTCTCCCCCTTCATTGATTGATTGATTGATTGACTGGTGATTCTGGGTGGGTCAACTACTACGGTCATTAGTCCCGTAAGTGCAGTGCATGTTTGTTTAACGCGTGAATGGCGGTTATATTCCCCTGCTGGATGGTGGAACCGGCGCCGACCTACGTCCCTCCTACCGGCATGGCCTTGCCCCAGCCGGGACAAGCTGTCAGCTCTCGGCATGTGTGGTAGTGCAGTGCATGTAAGTATAAGTGTGTGAACATAGTAAGGGGTGGGGGGGGGACAAAGAAAACGAAGGGAAGATCGTGCGCGATCTGTGGTGCGTTTGTTAGGGTACTGCTCCGGCATTTTCCTGGCGTTAGGAAAAACCATGGAAATCTACCGATCAAGGGAGCCTGCAGCAAGAAGTTTCTTCTGTACAGCGGCTAAATTCCACTTAGCTATGTACCTAGAGTCGAAAATGATGCCACCGCCTAGATTCGAAGCTTACGACCTCCCGGTCAGAGGCACCGCAATGACATCAATTTATGCCGACAATTGTTGCCGGTTTCGCTCTTCATCTCGTCTAAAGATTGCCAAACCTGCTATCAGCACAAAGTCTATGTTGATTTGAAGTGGGAGTTTTTCATAACTCAATTCCCTGAACGAGGTCTTAGCTGAAATTAGACTACGATTTTCTCAACGTCCAGCTATTAAAGACATGTAACGTATGTTTTTCAAACATCCATAAAAATAAAATAATAATAATAATAATAATAATAATAATAATAATAATAATACAGTGAAACTTCTCTGAGAGACTAACCCTACTAAAGCCGTCTCAATGAACGGACACTCAAACCCATAGATTTTACGCTAATTATACCCCTGTTAACAGACAATACCTCTCCTCGACCAGCAACCAGCTACAAAGCAATTATCTAAAGGTAGGTACTGTATCTAGAACACCCCTCAAAAAAATGCAAGTACGTAACAGAACACCGAATTTACAGAAGTGAGCAAATTGGCTCAGGGCACAGCGCACTTTTCGCATTAGGGAGTCCCGAGTTCAATCCCCGTGCCGGGCATCCTGATCGGGGTTTTCGTGGTTTCTCTCGTTCATCTAGGCGAATGCCGGGATGGTTCTTCTAAAAGGCCACGACCGGGAAACCGACGTCGCCAGGAGAATTCGTAACTAAGTGAAGTCAAATGAATTCGAGACGTCGCGGGTTCCTGGATGGGTGACAAACAAGGAACCCCGAGAACTAACGGCGCCGAGGCCGATAAATACAAATTACTGCAAGAGGTGGCCTCACCTGCGTGTTGCGCGTGAACCCGTAGCCCATGAAGCGCTCGTCGTGCGCAGGCACGGTGTCCGGAGCGACGTAAAACGGCTCGTACAGGAACTCGAAGTTGGTCACGTTGTGGCTGATGTGCACAGCGCTGCTCTCCGACTCTGCGCTCTCCTGCCATCTGTGGACGGAAGAGTGAATCACTGGAAGTCGCCTTGGCAGCGCACTTCGCTGGCAGCGGGAGGCGAAATAAATGATTGATGGTATGACCAAGCTAGGAAGCCAGTATTTCCTTTCACTGCTGATTGGAAAGGTTTACTTTTAGGTAAGCTTACAGAAAAATACACTTAGTCGTATCAGGTGAGGTCTCATTTACAGAAAAAAATCCACAAACAACTCTTGACAACATACGGAACACTAGTGGTGCAAACACAATACATACTTTCTCGAATTATTTATAACTTTTTCAATTCAGAGAGTTTAACGAAAGCCAAACATGCGTAACTAACTTGAAGAAAAAATGTGCTGAGCTTTGTAAGATCATTTTTTGTACTTTTTGGAACTTTGGAACGTATTTTATAAGAGAAAGTATTGTGCGCCGGAAAACGGCGAATTTTCGGAAGAAACACTCTAATTGCCGGGCACTGGTTACGAGAAAGTGCATAAATCCAGCTGCTAAATTTATAGGAAAAAATCATCTAACACGAACAAAACATGGATCATGAAACATGGTTTCAAGACCATTTTATTGATCCTTGATACTGAAATATCAATAGGTGGCAAAACGTCTGTCCGTCCATGGTCAACGCTAGCGCCTAAATTATTTTGCCCATTTTCTCCAAAATTGATATTCCCCAATCAATCTGATGCCGCGGTGCCTTGAATTTGAAACGGGTATTTCAATTTTGGGTTGTTTATTTTTCCATTGTCTGGGACATTTTTTAAATTGCCAAATTTTTAAGTGACTTGAACCGATGCGAGAAGGTATGTGTTGTTAGGTATGTGCCTAGTTTCTTTAAATAAGCCGCTCGCCATTCTAGCGGCCGGCTGCCCGGACGTTAGTTTTCCGTCGTTTCTCCGATCAACACCAGGCGAATACCGGAGCAAAACCGTACCAAAAGGGCCACGGACTGCAAGCGATCTTTCCTTCTTTTTCTTTGTCCTATCCTTACTTGTAAACACACTTACATGCCCTACACTACCCCATGTCGGAAACCTAGACGGGAGCGTAGAGCTTGTCCCGTCAGGGGCGGTGCCCCGTTAGTGGGAGATACCTTATTGGGAAAACCCCGAAAGTCGACCTGTAGGTCGGCGTTGTATCTCATCATCCAGCAGAAGAAGATCGCCGCCACATCCCCATAAAAAGCATGCACTACGCTTACTGGGGGTCTAATGACCTTAGCAGATGTCGCTCCCGGAAACACGAAATAATCATTGAACGCAGAGCAGGGGATATTTCAACGCGTTAAGGCGGCGCGCGCTGGCCCTTTCGATCTGAGCGGCCCTTGCGGCCTGTAGGCGTCAGGAGCCTCTTGCGCCTCTTCATTAGTGGCATCGCGGGGGTGGCGGCGCCGGCGCAGCTTTCAAGAGCAGCCGCTTGGCGCGCCTCGTGCGGCGGAGCGACCCAAACAGGCGGGGGGGGGGACCGGCCTCCGACGCCCATTCATTCACTCATATGACATCGCGCAAACGCCCCCCCGCCCCTCCCGCCACGCCCGCATCCTTGCCACTCGCCCCGCCACGCCCCGCACGCCCCACCCCGCCCCGCGACTCTCCTTGACGGCAGAAACTGTGCATTTTACGGTTTGTTGTTGGAGTTCATGTACGTTGTAAATAAATATTCTATGGAAATACATCATAGTTTTCGGAAACATTAGTCTTTGAACTGCTCCTATTTTCTGAAAATTAGATTTGATATAACGAGAGAAGTACTAATATGACGAATAAATACAGGACTGTACGATATGCAATTCAGATGTAAGTCACGTTCGCCTAACAAAATTCGCCAAAAACGTGACGCCGTGACAAAATATCACAATCTGCATTATTATTATTATTATTATTATTATTATTATTATTATTATTATTATTATTATTATTATTATTGTAATATAATATATCAATATAATGGTATAACAACATCATATTATTATTTAGTAGTAGTAGTAGTAGTAGTAGTAGTATTCCTGTAATTCATTACTAACGATTCTACGAGTCGGTTGAATATAAAATCTAGTCGGGGTTGCAAGGATAGGTCGTTGTTAAATGTATTCATCATTAAACTTAAGATGTATATAAATCTGAACAGACATCCTAGAGCCTATGAACCCATGTACATAATGTACTAGTCTCGTGCACAGAAGATAAAATCTTTCAAGAACCTGTCACCAAAAGGTATCCTGTAAAAACAGTCGAAGGACTAATAGACTCTAAGAGGAATGAGTGTCCTCTGTGCGCAGTTTCTCTCTCAAAATGAACGACGGAATGGAAATCTCAAAAGTCAAAAACCACTTTAGGTCAATAATCTCCACAGAACGACGACATCATAGACCAGACCCATTTCAGTGTCGTCTGCGTGAAGCTTACGGTCACGCCGAAAAGAACTGCGAATATCCCCACGGTGCTCGGCGCGCCTCAAGGCAAGTGTTCAAGGCGGACAACTGACTGTTCAAACGGGCTGATAAAGTGGGTACATTGCGAAAAGGCTTTTCGTGCAGACGCGAAGGCGATTCATATCAAAGAACGCTAACCAGAAAAGCGCTTCGTACTCTTTACCCAACACTGACAATAAACCTTGGCATCCTGCCATTACATCCCATCCCATTCATCTAGTCCGTTCCCCTCTATCTGTTCCGCTCTATCTGCTCCTTAAGCACATCCCGCTTATACCTTCTCGCAACCGCATATGAAGTAGAGAGTAAGTTATGTACGGATGCGAGAAAAAACGGCGCGAAAAACGCGAAAACGGTGAACGGCGAAACGGCAGAAAAGCTATTATCACAGGGGCCTGGTGACGAAAAAGTGGATAAATCTAGTTGCTAAATTTAGAAAGAATAATCCTCTAACACGTGCTGTAGCCAGAAGCTACATTGGAAATTACCAGAAGCACTTCCCTAAGTGTTCTCTTCCCTTTGAAATACTTGCAGCATATTCAGAAGAACGAATAGAAGATATTGATTTCATTTAAAGTAACGTCAGAAAGAAGACTTTGTGAATAGAAAATTTTAAGGTCGGCTCCGCCTGCGTTGCGGCATTTCTGCAACGCAGTTCATGCAAGAAGATAAAGAGAACTGTTTTAACATACTTATTGCAGCAATTCATTTCAATCTCAATGGCTTCGTCATTGTAGAGTGCTGTTCGAATGTTTAAAATTTCATTTAGTTGTTAGGTTGAACTAAGTATATTTAAGAAAAATATTTTTTGACATCTCTGAGTCAGTTGTAAACAATATGAACAGCGATGAGCATTAGATGAGAATTAATTGAGTAATGAGTATGTTTTTTAATGAATTTCGTATTTGTAACTACATTCAGAAAGATTTTGGATATGATTCTTCTTTCGTGTTTGTTTTGGGTCAATGGGTTATAAAGATACTTTTGTAATACGCGAATGTGTTCTTATGTTGAGACGGAAACTGTGTGTATATATCTTTCAGTGATTTTCTTTAATTATAACCCAGTTGTGTTTAGAAAAATTCTCTATCATGTTTCGCCTACATCCGCGAAATTATTTCGATTATTTTCAGTCTGGATTTCTTAGTTGTAGAAGAGCGCAGAAAATAATTGTATTTCAATGTTTTAAGTATTCCTTGCAGGTAAATATTACCGTGAGTAACCGATACACTACCTTATCTTCCCACGTGGCGAACATGTGTCGGGAATCTCTATCTCCTTGCATGACTAACCGCGCAGAGGGTGGAACATTGTCATGAGTGGAGCGGGAGAGGAGCGGAGCACGTAAAGGTTCACCTTGTGACCGTAGATAGTCGCTGGATGGCGAAATAAGGTTACGACCCACCCGTTGGCTAGCGGATTTTTCCCAGCCAGACATCTCCCACCAGCGAAGCATCACCCCAGCCCGGACAAGCGCTAAGCTCGCGACTGGTCTCCCGGCATATGTGGTAGTGTGGTTCCTGTCAGTGTATCTGTATGTAAGGATAGGACAAGGAAGAGGAAGGAAGAACGCGCGAGTTCCGTGGCCCGTTTCTTCAGGTACTGCGTTGACGTTCGCCTGGTTTTGATCGGAGAAATTAACGAAAACTATCGATCAGAGCAGCCGGCCGCTAAAATCCCCCTCTATATAGCTGCGGAATTCGATAGTCATATAGCTAGTGTTGCAAACCCTGCAACCGTCAGGACCTTCTCGTCAGAGTTGCCGCAGAGACATTCGTTGATGCCCTGAGCCACGTAAATCGGTACATTCCCGTAAAAAATTTGTAATTTTTTCTGTCAGATCCTTCATAGTCATATTCCAAGCAACCAATTATGTTTTTTCGTCTACTGATGTGGTAAGGCGTTAGTTAAAAAGCGAACCGTCTCACCTGGAGAAGTTGGTGGCGAATTGGTTGTAGATGAACACCTTCTGGTGGAAGGGGCGCGCGAGCCCGCGCTTGGCCAGCCGCACCAGGTCCGTCTTGTTGCGCGGGAATCGAACCTGGTCGTGCAGCTCGTACGTGGGGATGACGTAGGCGCAGAGCCCGCTGCAGCGCGCGCCACGCAGGAACACATCCAGGCCCTCTGCGAGGCGCGCGCTCGGGATGATGTCCACGTCCGTCAGGAACACGTAGTCGGCCTGGCAGTTGCGCCGCGCCAGGTTGCGCATGTGGTTCTGCGGGTAGGGCGCCTTGCTGCGGTACGAGAAGGTGTCGGGGCGGCGCAGGCGCAGCAGCTCGGCGAGCGCCGACTCGGGACGGCGGCAGTCCAGCTCGGGGCGCGCGGGCGGGTCCAGCACGGCGGCCGCCGCCAGCTCCACCGCCTCCTGGCGCGGCGGCCGGTCCTTGGGGTACGCCAGGTGGAAGCTGACGCGCTCGCGCACGGCCGCGAAGCACTTGCGCAGGTACGCCACGTAGATCTGCAGCAGCGTGTACTCGTCGTCGCCGGCGGCGTACACGGCGGCGGAGATGGGCCCCGACCAGTGGTGCGCCACCTGCACCAGCGAGCGCAGCTTCTCCACGGAGCTCTGCGTGGCCAGGCACACGGAGAAGGTGTCGGAGAGCTCGGCGTAGCGCTCGCCCACCACGGCGAAGTCGTACATCTTGTAGAGGTGCCGGGCGTCCCAGCGGCCGAGGCGCAGGTCGGCGCGGAAGAGCGAGGAGGCGGCGACGGCGGCGGAGGTGTTTGGCGGGGGCGGTGGGGCGCGCGGGGCGGCAAGAGCGGGGCGGCGGCGCGGACGTGGCCGTGGTGGGCGGCGGCGCGCGGGCGGGGCCGGTGCGCGGGCGGGCGGGCTGGTGCGGGGGGGGTTCGCCAGCGCCGCGCGCGACGCGGCCCCGCAGTCGGACGAGTGCAGCAGCCGCACCGTCAGCAGGATGTTGGAGAAGGTCAGCACGACGACGCTGGCGATGCTCAGGTTCCACAGCCGGCAGCCCAGCTGCAACACACCACACCCCGCCGCCCTTTATTAACTCGACACCACATTCTCGCCATTCATGCAAAATTAAGCCAAAAGAACTTTGAAATTTTGTCTTTTTTTTCGAAGAATCTCGGTGTTCCTCTCTATACACCGGGAACACCAGGCGAATCCGGAGCAGTACAACATTGGCCATTGACAACCCGCAATCTTTCCCCGCTTTTCCTCGCCCTATCCTCACCACTAGCATGCACCGCTCTACCACACATGCCCAGAGGGCGGTCGGGAGCTTAGAGCTCATCCTGGCTGGGTCGCATCCCCGCTGGCGGGAGATACCCGGTCGGGGAAAACCCCGAAAGCCTGAATTTAGAGCGCTGCCGAATCTCGACATCCATAAGAGGAAAACAACCGCCACTTCTCCATATTGAAAAACATATTCTACACTTACGGTACTAATGACTTTGGGGGATTGACGCGACCGGAATATCTATTCAGTCAATCATTGATTGATTAATTGGTTGGAAATGGTCGCCAGTCAAATAATCTTCGTGTCAAAATTAACCTCTAGTAAGTAAACGTTTTAGATGAATTTCCATTGTTTTCTAAAACTTTGCGGCACTAACTTCACTGAGGTGCGGTTGAAGCGGCTGGCGGTGCGCGGAGCGCCCCCTCGCGTCTACACGGCCGCACATCTGGCCACCAGGCGCGGCGCCGCCGTTGTTCTCTTCGACGGGGGCGGCGCCATCTTTACGGACGCTTCCATCGCCACAGACGCACGTCGCTTCGAGTTTAAGCTACTGCTGGAACTACTCGCTGTCCACTCCAGGCGCTAGTCTGTTGGATTCAATAGTTTCCTGACAAGCGAACGGTCCTGCCTCTGAACGAGACCTTCGAGTAGGGATGGGACTGAGATACACCCAAAGTCTACCTCGGTGTGATATAAGAGGGCGGCTAGGGTGCTATTCGATGGGAATTGGCTCCACCGGAGTGATAGGAACAGCTGAGGCTCTGACACGTCTCATGAAAGAGAGCTGAGAAAAGGAGCAAAACGGAGACTGTAGTTCCGACTGAAAAGTTAGAGGATCTTACTGGAATGAAATTAAGATTAAAAAATAACATCTGCTGTTTTAGTACTTTCCTTCTCATTCAAAACACAAGTCTGGTTCCGTACCAAATAAAAAAACTTCCATTTCAACAGGACTTAGTTTCGCGCATTATATGAAACTGCTCCGCAATATTATATTTCACGAACCTGCAAAAGTATTTTCAACCAGCAATTTCTTTCTGCATCGAGACTCGCACTCGGGTCCTCCGAGTTGATTCAACGTGCACCACTCGACGCAATATTTCCAACATGCAATTTCCAAAAATTCAGACAGCAACGAAAATAAGACCCCCCAGCATTCTTTTAAGCATCCCCTGATCCATCAACGGATAAAATTTAAAGTAAAACGTTGAAGCGGTTTTTGATACAATGTTCTTTTTAATTTGCATTAACTTCAACCAGAAATTACGAGAAAACTAATAGTTTTTTTTAATGTATATGATCTTCTTAAAGGGGTGAATATTTTAGAATAGATCTTGTTTAAGACAAAAACATCTATATCTTCAATTTTGTAGTTTTCAAAAGTTAATTTTTTAAATGCTTTTGATGCACTCATGAATCTGTAATGTAATGCTAGGCGAAAAAAATAATTTTGTAAATTGTAATAGTATATCGAGCCGCCCTTCGCCGCCAGCACCCCCACGGCCGCTCCCACCCTAAGCTTCCCTTTTGTCGTCGCCTTCTCGGAAAGGTCATTATCGGACGCCGTAGCTTTGTGTTACCAGAAGGTATCCGGTAAACGGAAATTAGTTTCAGAATTTAGACATTTTATGAAACAAATTTCAATCGACATGCGCCGATATTGGATTGGCTGAGGACAAGCTCTACTCCAACATCATTCATTGAAATACAATGAATAGTGAGCTTCCTCATTCGGTGAATGGGTGGGTGGCAGAGGTTTGTTGGTGAATTTTGTTGCAGGGTAAATTCATTCAGATACAAATTTCAGCCAAGTGAGGTTGAAACTGCCACTGGCTCTCGAGGGAGAGCGCGCAATGCTAGGCGACAAAAGCTAGGGTCGGCAATAAGAGTTTTTCTGCCGATAACTCGCCGTTTTCCGGTCAACGATTATAAAACTATCTCTTCTTATGAAGGACGAGAAAGTAATAATAGTGCTACAATCACATACACTTTCTCGCATTATTTGTAACATTATTTGTAACTTTTTCTCAAAACCGCTCATTTTTTTATTTAAATTTTTTCACAGATAGAACAAGGAACGCTGAAAAGAATGGCAGATCTCATTTTCGTTTAAGTCACTGAATTTACGAAAACTGCAGATTTAGAGAAATTATGGAGTTTTCGTAAGCGTTACATTTACAATAATTGCAATTTTAAGTTTTGGTAATTATGTATTTTCCATGTGTCAAAATTTCACACATGGAAGTTTTGAATGTGTGTAGTGTACCACTTTTTATATACAACACTTTAATGGTAGTGTTCTTGAGGAGTTTTTAAATAATAATATTCGTTTTGTAGTAGTTTTAATATCAATGTTTTTATGGAAATGGAACTCAGAATGCTACGTTTGTACATTTTACTTTAATATAATCTAGTTCGCGAAATTAATGTAAGGAATATTGTGTATTTATTTAGGTACAATTTGTAGTAAAGTTCATTCTATGGGTCGTTCATTTGTTGAGGACGGGATGCCTGCCGATGAAATACATTTATTGCTTTCTTTGTCTTTTGGTGTCGGGCAGCAAAGAGAAATTGACCATAGAGAGACATTTAAGTTGTGGTTGGTTACTTCGTATAATTAAAACGTCCAAACTTCCATCCCTCTCTGTCTTTTCATAGTCGCTAGCTTGCAAAATGTGGTTTAGTTCTTGCCAGTTTAAAAAAGTATATGCTCTCCAGTTCTCTTGTTCTCCATAGAGGATACATATATCTATGTTTTCAATAGTAATTTTGTTTCGATTCCAATTCCCCAATCTAAACCATGCTGACATGCTCTGTCTTTATTCGATGCTCTATTATTAGGTGTATTGACCTTCTTGTCAGATCCGTCATCTGTTACCTCGCGTTCCTGCGACAGTCGGTGATATGAATAAAAATGAACGATTACTTCTTTCTCGAATTTTCAAAGCAATTATTTCCACAATAAGAGACATGCGTAATTGCTCTTATTTTGAGTAATTTCCTCAATGGTGGGTAACCGCTTGGCCGAGGAGCAATTGCTCTCTTTTTAAATTCGAGAATTTGCTTCCAGTGAGAAGCATTTACTTCCAATTTTCGGAGCAGTCTCTGTACATGACCCAAATCGTTATGATTGGATAGAACAGAGGTTATACACTACTGCTATGAGTTGTTTGTGTGTTTTTAGGTAGTGAGTGAATTAATGATGGAAGATTTCAAACGATTTCGCCAACAATGCACGTAAACTGTAGTACCACTTAACCTAACCTGGTCGACCTCATCACGAACAAGCACGCCACGAGCGGTTAAGTGTAACAACAAAACAGTTGAAAATGGACCAGTCGCAATAGATCAGTTAGTGAGCAATTAGTCAAAGAGAGAAGTAAATGCTCCTAGTTTCACGAAACTTTTTATTCATATGAATAAAATTAATTTCTTATGAAAAGTAATAGCTCCTGCTTGTGCTCGTGAGTAATTCATCTGGAGTACTTGCTCATTTTTATTCATATCACCCAGCGCTGCTAGGTATGAAGTGCTACTAGGTTACATTTTGGCATTTCATCACATCATAAAGTTTAATTACGATTCGCTTGTCTTTAATAATTTCACACCAATATTTCTGTTAACTTTGTGTTTGTACTGATCTTCATTCCCACAGAACACCTCTGTTTGCAGTTCCTTGCGCCACCCTTAACCTTTGCTCTACAACGTACGGGTCAAAACAACCCCAAGCTACGAAAAACACGCATGCGTGACAGGGAAATCTTCTTTGGTCCTATCTTTCATATACGGAAGTTAGGTGACCCATAACGGGTTTTCTTGGGATAAATTATTCAGGGTGGTTTCCAGTTGCCTTCCCTGATATGATGATGATGATGATGATGATAGGGGTGAAAGGACGAACACAATACAACCATGCCCGAGGTGGGACTCGAACCCGCGATCTTTCGGTACGAGATCGCTACGGCACTACTGTCTTAGCGATCTCGACTACCGGATCGGCGACAGGGAAATACAGGGCATTTATTTGGAAAAAATGAGATCTATCGTTCATTGAAATGATGAAAAGGATGTATTTTGAAAAAAAGATGAATTTTGTTGTTTCCCAGAAGGTTAAAATTGACTAATTTCACAAAAAAGTGAATTGGGTAAAAAAACGTAGTTTATGTTCCGTCGTTTTACGTTGTAGGCCAAGCGATAGAAGGTATTTGTAGTAGGACATCATTGCTTTATTTACGAGCGCTGCAATATGTGTTCCCCAGACGTCAGCCTCATAAATAATTGCTGGAATAGTAATGGAATTATACATTTTGTCAGTAAGATGCGATTAGCAATTTCGAGATATTTGATTTTGTTACTCTCGCGATCTCGCTTAACACACGCATTCCTTTGTTTTCAGCGCTCTCCCATGTCTGGCCATTGACAGCAGCTATTAACTGCGTAACACCCAGTTAAGTAAATTCTTTTACCGTTTTTTGAGGATTGTTCCTGTATGTCCATTTTTCGTCATGTACGTACCTCCATGCATTCTTGAAACCCAATATTTTCGTTTTTCCCACATTCACTTTGATTCACAAAGCTTGAACTTTTTCTGCACTTAAAGTTTCAAAAACATTCAGCCGGAGGGCTCCAACAATGACCGTGTTCGAACAAACGCGACGACACTGGGCGAGCGCTACGCGCCCAAAATTAACTTGGCAGGTCGAGATTTCTTTGTAAATAGACTACGGACTTTCACAGCAAGCTATTATCTGAAAAAACTAACACTAATTTTTCTAATTTCTTTTCTCAGTACAAATACTCTATTCAAATTACTGCTTTTTAGTTCCTCTTGGAGGTCATCTAAAGTTGGTGTGACGGCTTACTGTGGTATACAACAAACGTATTCAATACAACCCACATATATTGATGTGCCTGTGTCAAAAATAATCGAAGATCGACAAACTATGTTAACTATACTTGCATACCGAGCCACACATGAGCATTATTTCGGTTTCCCAATATCGAAGAACGAAAAAGTAGGCGCTGTGCCGCGCGGCATTGCGGGCTTGTTGAGGGAGCGGGTAATGCCAGCAGCTCAGTGTTCCGCTGCCCTAAATTGGAGCTCGCGGCCGCAGCGGCGGCGCTTGTTTACTGGGAGGATACTCTCTCAACAGGCAGGGGTGCACAAAGGACGATTTCGTCGTGAAAAGCGTGGAACGTTATTTTTGTAGTACATTACAGTGCGTGACTGCGGCTAATTATTTCACAGCTCACACAAATAGTGGATATTAACCTACAGACAAATATTAGGCCAGATTTTTACATGCGCTTCTTGAAAGGTCTCTTAGTCTCTATCTCTTTAGTCTGGTCTAGCTGGGCTAGGTTGTGCTGCTTCCGGACTGTTCTTCCCAGCTGCTACCTCTCGGCGTCTAAATTTTTTTCTTCACATTTTTTTCTATTTTTTCGGTCCCCTAATAGCAGAATTGAACTTGTGGTGCTACAATAACACATACTTTTGCATATTACTTCTATTTTTTGCAATTTTTGAAAACTTAAGTGTTCAAAGAAAATGAGACCTGTGCCGTTTTTTAAATGTCCTTTGCTACATCCGAGGAAAAAAGTCAAAGAAAAAGATTAGAGCCGCTGTTGATAAGTTTTCTTTAATATAACGATTCGTTAACGTATGTTTTATAAATCACGACCTTTTTAACAAGCTCAACAAATACAGTGAATTATTAGTTAATTTTTTCCAACGTTTCGTCCGACAATTGTGGCCATCACCAAGGTTAACAAAAGACCCTCAAATTAAAGGTAATGTAGATTAATAACTGACTTAATTATAAAACTTGATTGCGACATTTCAATTATCAATAACATACCATGTGATATACATAATGTAAGCTCTAATGATTTACGATACAACAGATTGTTTTCGTTAAAAAGACGTATGGTTGACTAAGGAAAGACGTTGCTTCAGTTGGTGTCGCCTGGGTCAAAACTAATGCTATCACCCCCATAAATTAAATATAAAAATATCTATTACTAAATAGTTTATACATTATTTAATACAAAGACTGCACCGATATTTGTTTGTATGTTAAAAATATATGTAATTCAGAGTAATTGAAATATGATTTTTAAATAAACAATTATATAATTCCAACAAAGTTTCTAATTGGCGTTACCCCTAAAATGGCGACACCTGGGGTGGACCGCCCCCTCTAAAAACGCCACTGGACCGAGCGACATAAAGAGTTATCAGAGATCTTAAATAACTACATAACGAACCCAAAATATAATTATGAGTAAGGTTACTAGCAAGGTGGGAATAAAATTAGACATCAGAACTCATGGGATATTTCAGTCCAACTTTGAATTGGAAAGCCGAAAGAAATGAGTATTACAGTGAGATGTGTACATTGCTGAGTTTGTCTGCGTCAGATTGTAAGTTAATAGGGTTGTAGTATAATGGGTATGGAACATTTCTGAAACCTATCTTTTATAGGCATTATTTTCTCAATCAATAATCTTGACGTTATTCAAATCAAATATGTGGTTGTATTGATCATTTGTTTACTGATGAATGTGAATTTTTCTTATGTTACTGTGTGTTCATTGATACGTACATTTAAGACTCCTTGTGCTACCAATGTAACAACAATCACAATTATTAGTTTTACAATTAAATTTTTAAACAATATTCTGGGCGAAACTCAAAGGAATAGGGTGTTTCATATTTTTAAAGATAATCATATTAGATTTTTATTCAAGCGCTTCCTTCAGCGTTCCATATTATTAAAATTAGCCGAATGTGGAGCGTAAATGCCCAGCTCGTCACGAAAGCTATCGGAGCTCTCGAATTTGGTCCGCAAAATTTATGTAAGAACTTGGCTAAACTCCCAGGTCATTCGAAAGACTGAGGAATGTAAGACAATGCTTTATTGGAACAGCCTACATTCCTGTTTGCGCAAAGAATGGTAGAGGCACTGGTTGTCCCTAGATCTACCCTTAGGAAGCTAGTAGCAATCCGGAGTAGTTTGTGTAATCAACCGACTCATATCGTCTTTAATCGTGAATTAGAGGAACAACAACAACAACAACAATAATAATAATAATAATAATAATAATAATAATAATAATAATAATAATAATAATAATAATAATAATAATAATAATAATAAAAATAATAATGTGTTACTGCTCATAGAATTGAGAACTCCAGCCGGGAATTGAACGAGATTTTCCCGGTTTCCACGAAGTTGCTCTAACAACTTGAGCTCCCGAGAGTCAATGCTTTGAAAATAAATGCAAAAATATTAATATATATTCTGGTGTGGTAACATTACGTTGAATGTCTATCCATAATGGCATAGTGATTCAAACATTGGCGCAGAAACTTCGTTCTGCACTATTATATTAAATCTTGCCAGGGCCGTATTTGTTTCGAAAATATCTTACCCATGGAATTTCTCGCAATTGTACACTTTATACTTGTTAATAAAATATAATTCTGACTTGGTGACAATCATAATTTATTCTAATTATAGATGTCAACTGAAACAAGCCTTATCGCGGTTTATTTAATGAGCATTTTGTGCACATTCGTGTCTATGTACGTGAAGTCCCATGTTTCAACAGATTTCATCATGCAGATGCATGATGCATGTTTCAACAGATTGCATCAAATGTAATTATAGAGGAACTTGAATACATCAAGAACGTGTGGCGAAAGACCTCTTTTAGATGGTTTGGTTCGTATAGCTTGCTCCGTGTGTCGTTGAATGTGCTATGGAGGGGAACAGGGATTAGTAAACTTCACAAAAATAATGGGCGTTTCCAAAGGTTTCTTATTACCCAACGAGACATTATTAAAATACTTGTGTTAAAGCATAACTATCATTTAACATTTAAACAGATACCTCAAAAATTTCATCGACTATTCAAACATCGCTTACCATTCAACCATTTCAAATTGGTAAGCATTCTGTGAAATGTTTGGACATTACTAAGGCATGGTAGGCATGTCGACAAAATTGTTGTGATCTGTTCTACTAACATCTCAGCTACGAAACACCTGGTATAGCTTGAAGTCCAATTCAACAAATTCAAACGAAAAGCTGACTACACGTGTTAGAAGAGTAATTTAATACACACGAAGAGAGGATTTATCCGCTTTTTCCTTATCAAGGTCCAGCAATACGTTTTTCTTCAGAAAATTTGCCGTTTGCTTCCGCATCATTACAATACGTCCCCTACAGTGCGTAAACAGTAAAATAGCCAAAGTCACGGGACACGCCCCGTATTTTCCTCCTGAATAAATGAAGTCTACTGACGATCAGCGAGCCTGTTCCACTTGTCGTGTTGCGTCGGCAGGAAGGAGGACAAGGAGGCAGGGCATTCATGCGAATCCACATCTTGAGGTTGTTATGCCCCCGCGCGCGGCGCGCGCGGTGGCAACGGGGCGGTGGCGCTCGATCAATACGCGTTTCTGGGCCGACGGCGTAGCGAGGCGGCGACAGCGCCCGCGTCAGAGGCGCGGGACGCCTTCTCCGCCGCCCGCCCAGCGCCCATCACGCGCCAATCAATGGCTGCCGACACAAACGAGTCCCAGGACGCGGGCAACAACACACTCGGCCTTCCTCACAACAGCCTCGCTCTGAGGCGGATGCTTGCGGGGAGGGGAGAGGAAAGATAGGCGGCGCGCACAAAGCTCGGGGGAGGGGGGGTAGGTGCGAATGCTCTCACCTGAATCATTAGGCTGAGGCCCGGGTTCGCGCCCATGTTGCGGCGGAGGCGAGGCCGCGGGCGCGGCGAGCGTGGGAGCTAGGGCGTGGCGATGTACGGGCGCCACCTGAACTCCACACGCGCATCCGTCAGCTGGGGCCGCACAGCACGGGCGCGGCCACGGGCGCAGAACGAAGCGTAACCACGGGCGCCGCGTACGAGAAGAGTACGGGCGGAGCACGGGCGCGCACGGGCGCAGCGGCCGCACGTGGGAGGCCCCGTGCGAGCGTGCGCTGCGCGGCGTCGCGTCAGCGCGCGCCTTCGCCACTCGCGTGTGGCGGCGGTGGCGGCGGTGGTGGTGCCGCGTCCGTCCGCCAGTGGCGCTGCGGGCGGGGATCGATAGTCGCGCCGGCGGCGACGGCGCCCGCGGATGCGCGCGGCCCAGGCGATCATGTAATAGGGGGGAAGGGGGCGGCAGGTTGCGATACGAGCAGGAGATAACTCCCGCTTCAGGAAGTGGAGCTTCGCTGGCGACAGGCTCCCTTTAGGGCCAGAGCCAGGGAGGAGGCCGATGCGCCCCTTAACCCTCGATTACAAAGGCGTCGTCCGTCAGACGACACAACTGGTGCCGAAAGCCGCCCCCACCCCCTTCCTCTCACTCCTCGTTTCTCAAAATCTGTGTTCCTTTAGTGTGTGGCTAGCCAGTCAAGTTCACGTAACCTTGGGCCTATTTCCGGGGTACGCCAACACGCGTCGTCCAGTAAACTATGCCTTGGTAATTACGTCAGGGTTATTGTTTTTTTTTCAGTCCATTGCCTAATATTGTGAGTAAATAATACGAATTCCTTGTCTTGCAGCATTTATGTTTTGTTCTGAACATTTAACAATCATAATGGGACGATTTCAATAATACAAACGATGCGTGACGAGGTACTTCTGCGGATGCTTCTCAAAAGCCTTGAGTGTACAGCACCAAGGAAGTGTGTACTGTGAGCGTTTAGTCATTTAGGTGTCATTAAGGAGTTTTAACTCCTTATCATACTTGTGCAACCCTTTAAATTTAGTATTTCATTGTAAAAATTAGTGTTTATTTTTACCCAAAGTAGTCTGCCAGATTATGCCTTTGTTATAACGCTTGCTACAAGTCGCCTTTGTATTCTAGGGTCAACCTCCCCCCTTTTTTTAACTAATCCACATATAACGTCAAAATGCAGTAAGGGCTTTTATTGGGCATTGCTCAGTATGTTAATCCTGCAACAATTGTTTTTGCTATTTGCTATTCGGTGGCGTATAACAATTCAGATTTCTACATTACTTTTGATTTATGATAAAGAACTATCTCATTAACAATACTTACACTGTCTTCTGTGAAGAAGATAAGAGGACGATGGTTTAGCGAGATATACACTGAAGAACCAAAAAAACTGGTACAGCCATAAGTTTTGAAATAAAGAAAGCTGGAACCAAAGAATACAACGCTCCGGTCGACAACGACAATGTAAGACAACCAGAGTCTGGCACAGTTGTTAGATCGGTTACTGCTGCTACAGTGACACCTTATCACGATTTGTAGGATCATTACTGGGTAGGAGTGCAACTAGCTGCAGAATAATAAGAACTGTTTTTGCTGTCTTCTACTGGCACAAACTGTAATGAAAATGTCAAGGAGAAAGTCCTTCAAGAGGAATCTCGCACCCACTCGCATCCACCTCCACTCTCACCCTTCAAGCTGGCAACTCTTTAAACGCAGAAACACCCCACGATTACGGTAACAATTTATTTGATAGAATATTTCTATGAACAAAAGAGAGATTACATTCGCGGGAGTTGACCATGTTCTTTCCTGCTGAAACGTAATATCTGGCGCCGACATATACATCACTTGAGGGCGATTTTCCTCCTTTCAGGTACTATACGCGCACGTTTTTTTGACATTCTACAGCGAGGGTGAGGGGTTCTAGCTTCTACGTCACGGCTTGAAAGGGCGTGCCAACTTTGGGCATGAACTCCCCCAAGCGTGCCTCGAGAAAGGCTACGATTGGTTTGAAATACGAGGTGGTTGTTGTCAGCATTGTAAATTGGTAGGTGCCGTTCCAAGTCGAGCCTAAGTATCTCAGGGGCCATGTTATTCAGCGCTGGGTGAGGACTAGGGAGCTCGTGTATCAAGATAACTTTCGCGAGTAATACCTCCATCTTCAGGACACCACCCCAGCCGGGGCAAGCCCTCCGCTCCTGATAGCACTCCCAACACATGGGGTAGTGTAGTGCATGTAAGTCTGTTTGTGGATAAAAGAAAATGAAAGGACAAATAAGTAAAGATGGATGCCGCGCGATCTGTTGCCCGATTGTTTGGATACTACTCTGGCATTCGCCTCGCATTGATCGAAAAAAATCGCACGGAAAACTACCGATCAGAACAGCCGGACTCCGCAACTTTCCCCCAGACAGCGCGGCTGAAATCGAATTTGCTATCTAATGTCGAAAAATCGCCACCGTCAGTACACGAAACCTAGGCCCTCGCGATTACATTCGTTACAGCGGCGCCATCTATTGGCCTGAGCCCGCAGAGTCAGTATGAGAAAGAGAGAGAGGGGGCCTGGCGATAGATCGCGTGAGATTCTTGGTGATTCCCCTAGGAGAGTATTCCAAGCAGTTGAATGCCACTCTTGGGTCTTTGCTTTTGGAAGGAATTAGGACAGTGGTAGGGTTTAGGACACTTCACCTAGCACCCGTGAATCCATCGTGCTCATTCTGTCGGAACTAATTTCACTGGAGATTGTCCGGGAATCGAACCTGGACCTCCTTGGTAAAAAAAAAAAGCAAACGACTCGCTCTGAGCCATGAGTTGGTTTTGGTGGTAATACTGAATGTTAAATTCAGATAACGTTTCAGCACGGTTGGTCGATCCCAGGGAAGAACAAAGTATTACATATGTCATACTTTAATTATACAGGGGAACTTGCTCAGTGCGGAATATCAAGGGACCAGAATTTTTCCGTATGATTACTTATTATACTATGTAATACTGCAGAATTTACGTTCGAAAGGACCATGATGTATGTTCACTGTACTGATATTCCAGTTCAATAGAGCTTTGCTAAAAAAATTTTTACCCTACAACAATAACAGTTTTCCCATGTAAACCAACAAAATGTTTATTAGTTACAGATATGCCAGACCTAAGACGAGTTCTCCTAAACAGAGTAATACGCGCTCTACAAGTTCGTACTGTATGATTACTTGTAATATTGTTCGGTGATTAAAAGAATTAATTCGTAATAGAAGTTCTTGAGTTATGACAAGACAAATGCACTTCATACACATGTGACAGATTTCCACATTACACACGTTCCGCATTGAGGAAGTTATGTAATGCTGGGCGAAAAAACGCAGAATTTTCGGACGTGAAAAACGTGGATAAATTGAGTTGCTAAATTTAGAAAAAAAAGTATGTTACGTGATGTAGCCAGAATCCATGTTCATCAGTCGGTCTGTCCGCCCGTCTGTTTGAGTATCTGTACCTCCTGCTAGGACACGTTAGCACAAATGTTTTATTTTCAAAACATCAGCCATGTCAAAACCGTGTTGGAATTATGCGCTCTCTGCTCTGCGACCGCAGTCACAGGAAGGCTGGTCACAGTGGCTGAGCTCATGCACGTGCAAAGCGCTGCTGAAATTCCGGAAACCCCGATGCCCACTGTTTTTTGCGGTGCCGCGTGCAGAATTATTCCAGAATCTTCTAGAAGAAGTTAAACCTGTTAACCTCATTAAACACTCCCCTCTTCTTGATGCTCCAAAGTATCGCTCACAGTCGAGGTCGGTTAAATCAACATGAAATACGACGAGTGTTTCTCAGGACAGTACGGACGCGTCCGGCATCTCGTAAAGTTTTTTATGTCTTTGTGCAACTATAAGTCCTGTGCTTAGGCAGTTTAAAATGAGCACTTATGTGCATGATGCGTAAGTTCTTTCCTTCCGGAGAATCTTAAGCGTCGTCTAGTCTTCATTCAGCCCACATTTCCAAAGAACTCGCTCCACTCCAAAGATGTTCGCGTCCTCCACACACGTAATTATATTTCCTTTCTAATAGTACACTTACTACCGTAAAACATCGCCTTTACATACTCACAATTCAGTCTTATTCTTCTCGCAACCAAATAGCTTTCCCTTTTACATTGTGTCAGAACATCGTCTCTTCTTCGCTTGTTTTCCATACCCCCATTGTTGCTGTCGGCCAATTAATAATTACGTAAATTTCTAATAAATACATAAATACGTAAATAAATAATTACGTAAATTTCTTGTGATAACCCATCACAGTACAGATGAACGATCTTTAATTATTAATTCGCTTAAGTACAATACATCTCCTAATTCAATTAAATCTTCATTTCATTGAAAACAATAGCCAACATTGTGACAACCAAAAGCCGATATCTGTTCTCTTGCTGGATACTAGTTTTATTTAAGAATATATTTCAACCTGGACAACTCTCCATATTGAGAAGCTCAAAGGTTATTTATAAAGTTGGCTGCTGTAAATGACTGCGCTCAAACGGCTGATAAATTAATGCAAGATTTCCATGCATTACTGACTGTAGATGAGGAGTGAAAGCAATTTGTATTGTGTTGTTCACGAACATCGTTCACTGTACCCAAGCGTTTAAGCGCTACTACAAATTCGATGTTTGAAGCTCTTATTCACAGAAAATTTTTGAGTTTTCAAAAAACTTCATTTGAGTCACATTAACTCACAAATACAATAGTGTTTACAAATTGCTGGAAATGTGCACATTAACGGCGAGAAAGAAATGATTGAAATTCAAAAACTGATTGAAAAAAACAAAATGAGTACTAAGAGTACATACTAAAGAGTGCAATTAGCACTATCCGGTCGAAACGTTTGAAGATAAAGTCTGGAGCTGTTTTAGAGAAAATAGCGTTTGAGCGTTTCTGAAAATGCGGAATTTTGAGCTAGAAAACTCTGAAGTTCTCTAGAAACTTTGTCATTATTTAAAGCACAAAATATAATAATGAGAACAAATCGCCACTAATATAAATATTAACGGCTTGAGAGCCAAGTAATTTTTTTTGTTTTTGAAAAAAACAAAATAAAGTCAATTGATGTTTGTCATTTCATAGAGTACATTTAGTACTATCCCTTCTAAAAGTAAAAAGAAAAAAATTGTAGCCGTTTTTGAGAAACATTTTTTTATTACTTTTTAAAATTGCATATTTTGCAAGTAATATTGCGTAAAAACTACTAAATTTTTTTTTAAAAAC